TTTAAAAATCTTCTTCTCAAGAACCACTGGGCCAGAAAAGCTGAAACTTAAGTGGAAGCATCCTGGGGTAGTGTAGATTCTAAATTGTTCAAATCATGACCCCTGGGGGTAGGGCAGCGCCACAATAGGGAATCCAAGTTTTACATTAAAATATGCAGAAAAAAAATCTTTAAAAATCTTCTTCTCAAGAACCACAGGGCCAGAAAACCTGAAACTTTTGTGGAAGCATCCTGGGGTAGTGTAGATTCTAAATTGTTCAAGTCATGACCCCCGGGGGTATGGCGGGGCCACAATAGGGAATCCAAGTTTTACATTGAAATATGTACTAGTAAAAATCTTGAAAAATCTTCTTCTCAAGAACCACTGGGCCAGAAAAGCTGAAACTTAAGTGGAAGCATCCTGGGGTAGTGTAGATTCTAAATTATTCAAATCATGACCCCTGGGGGTAGGGCAGGGCCACAATAGGGAATCCAAGTTTTACATTAAAATATGCAGAAAAAAATCTTTAAAAATCTTCTTCTCGAGAACCACAGGGCCAGAAAACCTGAAACTTATGTGGAAGCATCCTGGGGTAGTGTAGATTCTAAATTGTTCAAGTCATGACCCCCAGCAGTAGGGCTGGGCCACAATAGGGAATCCAAGTTTTACATTAAAATATGCAGAAAAAAATCTTTAAAAATCTTCCTCTCAAGAACCACAAGGCCAGAAAAGCTGAAACTTAAGTGGAAGCATTCTGGGGTAGTGTAGATTCTAAATTGTTCAAATTGTGACCCCCGGGGGTAGGGCAGGGCCACAATAGGGAATCCAAGTTTTACATTGAAATATGCAGAAAAAAATCTTTAAAAATCTTCTTCTCAAGAACCACAGGGCCAGAAAGGCTGAAACTTATGTGGAAGCATCCTGGGGTAGTGTAGATTCTAAATTGCTCAAATCATGACCACCGGGGTTAGGGAGGGGCCACAGTAAGGAATCTAAGTTTTACATTGAAATATGTAGTAAAAATCTTTAAAAATCTTCTTCTCAAGAACCACTGGTCCAAAAAAGCTGAAACTTATGTGGAAGCATTCTTGGGTAGTGTAGATTCTAAATTGTTCAAATCATGACCACCGGGGTTAGGGTGGGGCCACAGTAAGGAATCTAAGTTTTACATTGAAATATGTAGTAAAAATCTTTAAAAATCTTCTTCTCAAGAACCACTGGTCCAAAAAAGCTGAAACTTACGTGGAAGCATTCTGGGGTAGTGTAGATTCTAAATTGTTCAAATCATGACCCCTGGGGGTAGGGCGGGGCCACAATAGGGAATCCAAGTTTTACATTGAAATATACAGAAAAAATCTTTAAAGATCTTCTTCTCAAGAACCACAGGGCCAGAAAGGCTGAAACTTATGTGGAAGCATTCTGGGGTAGTGTAGATTCTAATTGTTCAAATCATGACCCCTGGGGGTAGGGCGGGGCCACAATAAGTACTACAAGGGGGGGGGGGATCAGGTGAAAAACAGCAAGGCCAAAGTTACTCAGGTGAGCGTTGTGGCCCATGGGCCTCTTGTTGCATCTAACATCATATTTTTGTCACTTGTGATGCTAAATAAATTAATTTTTACACATGAGTACTTCAGATCACAGAGTTTTTATGGAGGTAATTTTTTTCACATTATATTTTCGTATAGCCTTTTAATAAAGAAAACTTCACTGATAATACTATTTCTGAAACTCGAAAAAAATTGCCATGCGCCGAGCACCGATATTTGACACCTTTTAAAAGCTATTTTTACATACATGTGACATTACAACATTAAAATATTTTGTTAAAATAGCGAAAATTTCATTTTCCAACAAGGTGCAAAAAAATATTTATTTTGGTCGAATAGTATCTGAAATATTCAAAACGTTCGCGTTTTTCTGGGACAACCCTCATAAAACTCAGTTTTTAGCTCTTGTGAGCCAAAGACTCAAAGAGCTAATGCTATGGCCCTTTGTGTGGTGTGCGTAAACTTTTTAGAATATGGGCCATAACTCAAGAACCCCTTGGCCAATTACTGTCAAATTTGTCACAGGGTATCCCTGGCCCAAGGGCTCCCATTTATATACTGAAACCAGGGTTGTGACCATGAACCAAGGGGAGATAATTAGGTAAATAAAACCAAAAGTACTGGTAAAAAAAGTCTTCTTCCCAAGAACCACTGGGCAGATTATCACCAAACTTACACACAAAAATGAGTATTATCTTGAAGATTAAAAATTGTTCAAGGCATCACCCTTGGGCAAAGGGCGTGGTCTCAAGGTCACTTCAAAGTTGACCAAATATTACATTTTATTAAAACTTTGATATTTTGCTTACTATTAGGATTAGGATCATCAAATCTTGTCAGTTGATGTATCTTTGGACGTCATATCATGTTGACCCTAACGTAGGTCAAGGTGGCCACCTTTTTTAGCTCACCTGAGTTGAAAGTTCAAGTGAGCTTTTCTGATCACATTTTGTCTGTAGTCTGTCTGTCCGTCGGTCTGTCCATCTGTCTGTAAACTTTTCACATTTTTGACTTCTTCTCCAGGTAGTGTAGATTCAAGTTTGTTCAAATCATGACCCCCGGGGGTAGGGTTGGGCCACAATGGGGGATCAAAGTTTTACATTGGAATGTATAGGAAAAATCTTTAAAAATCTTTTCAAGAAGAGGAAAGCCATGATTGGTCAAATTGATATGGGAGCATCCCCAAGTATTGTAGATTCAAGTTTGTTCAAGGCATCCTCCAGTAGTAGGGTGGGGACATAATGGGGGATCAAAGTTTTACATAAGAATGTATATAAAAAATACCTTTTTAAATCTTCTCAAGAACAACAGAGCCATGATTAGTCATATTGATATGGAAGCATCCTCAGGTAGTGTAGATAAGTTTGTTCAAATCATGATCCATGGTAGGATGTTGCCACTTTGGGCAGATTCTAAATTGTTCAAATCATGACCCCCAGGGATAGGGTGGGGCCACAATGGATGATCAAAGTTTTCATAGGAATATATAGCAAAAATCTTCTTCTCAAGAACAGCAAAGCCATGATTGGTCATATTTATGTGGAAGCATCCTCAGGTGATGTAGATTCAAATTTGTTCAAATCATGACCTCGGGGGGTAGGGTGGGGCCACAATGGACGATCAAAGTTTTACATAGGAGTATATAGGAAAAAAATTTTAAAATCTTCTCAATTTATATGGAAGCATCCTCAAGTGGTGTATAGATTCAAGTCTGTTCAAATCACAACCCCAGAAGGTAGAGTGGGGCCACAATGGACGATCAATGGATGATCAAAGTTTTACATAGAAAAAATATAGAAAAAATCTTCTCAAGAACAGCAAACCCAAGATTGGTTATTAACTATTCGGTAGTATCCTAAGGTAGTGTAGATTCAAGTTTTAAAAAAATCATGACCTCATGGCGATAGGGTGGGGCCACAGTTGATGATTAAAGTTATGCATAGGAATACATAGAAAAAAAATTTAAAGATCTTCTTCTCAAGAACAGCAAAGCTATGATTGGTCATAATTATATGGAAGCATCCTCAGATAGTGTAGATTCAGATTTGTTCAAACCATGACCCACGGGGAAGGGTGGGACCATAAGGAAAGTTCAAACTTGTAGGGAAAAAAGTCACAGACAAAGAAATATGTAAGCATCTTCAGTTAGTGTAGATTCAATTTTGTTCAAATCATACACCCCCCCTCCCCCGTCCCTTTTTAGGGGTAGGTCAGGACCACTTACGCAATAAAGCTTTTCAATACTGATCTGATTTTTGCTTTTTTCAACATGCTTAATATATAATATTTTTTCCTAGCCACAGTGCTAAGGTGAGCGATGTGGGCCTCTTGTTGAATTTCATGGCTAATCTTTTTCAAAATATTTAAGAGTCATTATTTGAAATACTGAAAAGTTTAGAATAATCAAACCTTGTCAATTGATGTATCTTAGGGCCTTAAAACATATTCATCAAATAAAAATAGTTCAAATTGACCAACTTTTTGAATTTTGCAGGCATTTGTTTTCAAATTGTTTTAGAGGCATATTTTGGACACTATCAGACCTATGATCATCAAACTTTGTCACTTGATGCATCTTGGGTCCTCAGAGAATGTCAACTAAAAAGTAGGTCACCGTGACCAACTTTTGAAATTTTATGGCTATATTTAAATATCTCAGGTCCTAATTGGCTAAGAATCATCAAACTTTGTCAGTTGATGTATCTTGGGTCCTCACAGATTGTGTCAACTAAAAAGTAGGTCACAGCGACCTACTTTTGGAATTTCGAGGCAATATCTAAATATTTCAAATAGTAAGTGTCTTAAAATCATCAAACTTTGTCAGTTGAGGCATTTCGGGGCCTTGGAGTATGTTTACCAGAAAGTAGGTCACTGACCTTTTTTTGGAATATCATAATCTCATGGCTATATCTGAATATTTAAGATAATAAGGGACTTCAAATCATCACACTTTGTCAGTTCTTCCTGGGTTCCCAGAGTGTTTTAACCAAAATGTAGGTCATGATGACCTACTTTTGGAATTTCAAGGCTTTATCTAAATATACAGCATACCTAGAGGCTTCAAATAGAAGTGATAGGTTGTACAATTTATCAGAAGAGCGATTCAAGGCCCTTGGGCCTCTTAAGAAACTATGCAAGATATTTTCATCAAACTTCATACACTAGTACAAATTTTTATGTTGCATTACTTAATAAACCCTGGATGGGACATTCATGTCATATGGACATATTAATAGTTAACAATGCCCTTTTTGTAGTCAATCTTTGTGTGTGGCATGTGTCTCTGGGGTGATGGATGGAGGTTATAGTCCCATTAGGACTGTTCTAGTTCACTATTGCACTACAAAATCAATGACCTAGATTTGCACTATTATTCTTTTCATATAATATTATAATTTCAAATCAGTACTTCATTAAAATTCCTTGTGTATGCACAATTTTTGTATAAAATTTCCTTTTTATTTTTTTTAGAATGAAACTTACCTGTGCAGGAGATTCACAAAGTTTGTAACAAAGTATAATCTTATGTCCAAAGACAATTTAATTGTTCCAATTCTAGAAGATCAAAATGCCATCGATGGAGAGAGTGAAGCCTGATGGAAACTTAGGATATTAATTATAATCAGTGTCAGTACTGTTAATTTCATTGCTCTGAGTGAGATAAGTAAAAGGAGGGGTTTCCTTTTCACATACATGTGCTATCAACAGCATAAGGAAATCAGATTTCTCCATTGGAGGAGGTGTATACTATCACCAGAAATTATTCAGGGCAATTCATACAGTGTTTGTATTTCCCAGACATGAAGTTCTTGTACTCTGTATAAAGATTAAGCCATATGTATTTATTATTAAAACTACTAATATTTGTGGGTAGCTAGTGTGACACTACATGTAACTAGTACTTGTAAGAGAACTATCAGATATATCTCTGTATTAGGAGTCTTGTGTCATTAGCTCACCTGAGCCAAAGGTTCAAGTGAGCTCTTCTGATCACATTTTGTCCAGCATCTATCTGTCTATAATATTTCACATTCTCACTTTCTTCTCAACCAAACTTGCCACAAAGTATCTTTGGATAAAGGGGATTCAAGTTTGTTCAAATGAAGGGCCACACTTTCTAAGGGGAGAAAATAAGGAAATAGTGAAAAAATTAATGGCATTTTTTAATTAAATCTTCCTTTCGAGATCCATTGGGTTAGAAAAGATGAAACTTATATGGGAACATTGTCAAGTAGTGTAGATTCAAGTTTGTTCAAATCATGACCCCCAGACGAAGGATTGGGCAAAAATAGGCACAGTTTACATAGGAATACATTGGAAAAGCTTCCTCTCAAGAACAGCAAAGCCACGATAAGTCATTTCTATATGAAAGCATTCTCAGGTAGTGTAGATTCAGGTTTGTTCAAATCATGACACCCAGGGGTAGGATGGGGCCAAAATTGACAAAGTTTTGTGAAGGAATGCATAGGAAAAACATCTTTAAAAATCTTCTCAAGAACAGCAAAGACATGATTTAAGGACATACGCAACGTACCTTACCTACTGATAATTTTTCAAGATATTCTTAATTTAAAATTATAGTGCTATCAGATGTTCATAGACAAAAAATCAGCTTGCATTACCAGGGGTTTTGAAAAGATATCATTTGATGAAAATTCTTGTATAATTCAAAGAAAAATATACAAAAATTACTAAGCATGTATTCTAGATGTTTTGTTTATCCAAACTTGTTTTTGAAGAAGTGTACAACAGCATATATAGACATTAAAATGTAGCACACAGTTCCTTTAAGTATTAGAACTCTTCAACTCCAGGGAAAAAGACAATAAAGTTCAAACTACATTGCGTATGTCCTTAACATATGTATATGGAAGCATCTGCACATTGTTTTGATTCAGGAATGTTCAAATTGTAACTCCGAGGGGGGGGGGGGGCACAATTGGTGATCAGAGTTTTACATTGGAATACATAGGAAAAATCCTGAAAAATCTTTTCAAGAACAGCAAAGCCATGATTGCCATATCTATCTGAAAGCACCTCAGGTAGTGTAGACTCGAGTTAGTTCATACCATGATCCTATGGGGGTAGGGTGGGGCCACAATGGCAAACCAAAGTTTTACATAAGAATATACAGAAAATATTTTTTAAAAATCTTCTTTAGAGGAATAGAATAAACTATGATTGGTTATTAGCTCTTCTGAGCCAAAGGCTCAAAGAGCTAATGCTATGGCCATTTGTGCGGTGTACGTAAACTTTTTAGAATATGGGCCATAACTCAAGAACCCCTTGGCCAATTATAGTCAAATTTGTCACAGGGTATCCTTGGCCCAAGGGCTCCTTTTAATACTAAAACTGGGGTTGTGACCCTTTAACAAGGGGAGATAATTAGGAAAATAGAAACAAAAGTACTGGTTGCTAAAAAATCTTCTTCTCAAGAACCACTGGGCAGATTATCACCAAACTTACACAAAAGGATGAGGATATGTTGTAAATTAAAATTTGCACGGGGATTTACCCTGGGGCAAAGGGCGTGGTCTCAAGGTCACTTCAAAGTTGACCAAAAATTACATTTTATTAAAATGTTGATATTTTGCTTACTATAAGGACTAGGACCATCAAATCTTGTCAGTTGGTGCATCTAAGGACCTCATATCATGTTGACTCAAAAGTAGGTCACGGTGACCTACTTTTTAAATTTTGCAGCCATTCTTTTTCAAAATGATTTAGAGGCATATTTTGAACAATTTAAGGCCTATGATCATCAAACTTTGTCAGTTGATGCATCTTGGGTCCTCAAAGTACGTCAACTAAAAAGTAGGTCACCTTGACCTACTTTTTGAATTTTATGGCTAATCTTTTTTAAAACAATTAAGGTCATTAATTCGAATACGGGGAGGCTTAGAATCATTAAATCTTGTAAGATGATGCATCTTGGGGCCATAAAACATATTTATTAAAAAGTAGGTCACAGTGACCTACTTTTTGAACTTTGCAGGCATTCGGTTTCAAAGCGTTTTAGAGGCATAATTTGGACATTTTAAGTCCTATGATCATAAAACTTTGTAAGTTGATGCATCTTGGGTCCTCAAAAAAGGTCAACTGAAAAGTAGGTCACCGTGACCTACTTTTCAATTTATATGACTATAATTAAATATTTCAGGTACTAATTGGCTTAGAATCATAAAACTTTGTCAGTTGATGCATCTTTGGTCTTCGGAGTAGGTCGACTAAAAAGTAGGTCACAGTGACCTACTTTTGAAAATTTATGGCGTTAAGTAAATATTTCGGGTACTAATTGGCTTAGAATCATCAAACTTTGTCAGTTGATGCCACTTGGGTCTTCAGAGTAGGTCGACTAAAAAGTAGGTCACCGTGACCTACTTTTGAAAATTTATGGCTTTAATTAAATATTCCGGGTACTAATTGGCTTAAAATCATCAAACTTTGTCAGTTGATGCCTCATGGGTCTTCGGAGTAGGTCGACTAAAAAGTAGGTCACAGTGACCTACTTTCGAAAATTTATGGCTTTAATTAAATATTTTGGGTACTAATTGGCTTAGAATCATCAAACTTTGTCAGTTGATGCCACTTGGGTCTTCAGAGTAGGTCGACTAAAAAGTAGGTCACCATGACCTACTTTTGAAAATTTATGGCTTTAATTAAATATTTTTTTCGGGTACTAATTGACTTAGAATCATCAAACTTTGTCAGTTGATGCCTCATGGGTTTTCGGAGTAGGTCGACTAAAAAGTAGGTCACCATGACATACTTTCGGAAAATTTATGGCTTTAATAAAATATTTTGGGTACTAATTGGCTTAGAATCATAAAACTTTGTCAGTTTAAGCGTCATGGGTCCTTGGAGTACAACAACTGAAAAGTAGGTCACCGTGACCTACTTATGAAAATTTATGGCTTTAGTCAAATATTTCGGGTACTAATTGGCTTAGAATCTTTAAACTTTGTCAGTTGATGCGTCTTGGGTCCTCGGAGTACAACAACTGAAAAGTAGGTCACCGTGACCTACTTTTGAAATTTTATGGCTGTATTTAATATTTTCAGGAATTATTTGGCTTAGAGTCGTCAAAATTTGTCAGTTGATGCATCTTTGGTCCTCGGAGTAGGTTGACTGAAAAGTAGGTCACCATGACCTACTTTTGAAAATTTATGGCTGTAATTAAATATTTTGGGTACTTATTGGCTAGAATCATCAACCTTTGTCAGTCGATGTATCTTTGGTCCTCGGAGTACAGCAACTGAAAAGTAGGTCACGGTGACCTACTTTTGAAAATTTATGGCTTTAATTAAATATTACAGGTACTAATTGGCTTAGAATCATCAAACTTTTGCACCTTGGGTCCTTGGAGTAAAACAATTGAAAAGTAGGTCACTTTGACTTACTTATAAAATTTTATGGTTATAATTTTAAAAAATATTTTAGGTATTAATTGGCTTAGAATCATCAAACTTAGTTGATGGATCTTCAGAGAATGACAAGTGATAAGTAGGTCACCATGACCAACTCTCAGGTACTAATTGGCTTAGAATCATCTTGGGTTCTCAGAGTGTGAATTGGAATTTCAAGGGTTTATCTAAATATACAGGATACTTTGAGGCTTCAAATAGAAGTGATAGGTTGTACAGTTTATCAGAAGAGCGATTCAAGGCCCATGGGCCTCTTGTATCTATATGAAAGCATCCTCAGGGGTGGTGTTGGGCCACAATGGGCGAACAAAGTTTTACAAAGGAAAGCTTAGGAAAAGTCTTTAAAGGTCTTCTTCTCAAGAACAGCAAAGCCATGATTGATCATATACATGTATATATGAAAGAATCCTCAGGTTGAGTATACAAGTTTGCTTTATAACCATACCCACAGGGGTATGGTAGGGCCACATTGGATGATCAAAGTTTTACTTAGGAATACATAGGAAATATCTTTAATAATGTTATTCTAAGGAACAGCAAATCCATAATTAGTTATATTAATAAAAAAGCAGCCATAGTTTGTGTAGATTGAATTTTTTTTCAAATCATAACCCCTGGTAGTAGGGTGGGGTCACAGCTGGGATCAAATTTATACATGTGATTAGATATGAAAAATCTTTTCTCAAGAACAGCAAAGTCAGGATCAGTTATATTTTAAATGTAGGAGCATCCTCGCATAGATTCAGATTTGTTCAAATCATGACCTCCAGTTTTTAGGGAGGGGCCACAACAGGGGATCGAAGTTATACAAAGGAGTATGTAGGAAAAATCAGTAAAAATCTTTTTTTCAAGAAAAGCATAACCATGATTAGTCATATTAATACAGAAGCATGCTCAGGTTGCTTAGATTCAAGTTTGTTCAAATCATGACCCCCTCCCCCCTGTGGGGCTCAATAGAAGATCAAAATTATATTGAAAAAAAATCCTTAAAAATCTTCTTAAGCCACGAATAGTAAAAAAAAAAAAAAAAAAATTGGAAGCAACCTCAGTGTTGATTCAAGTTTGTTCAACTTTTTAGTACTGATTTCCCTAGCCAAAGTTCTCAGCTGAGCGATGTGGCCCATAGGCCTCTTGTATATTATGCTTGTATCATTTCTTTACTACCAGTAAGGATCAAATTCATGATACTATATTTTGTTTAA